TATGTATAGATGTAATAAAATTGCTTTTCAATTCAATTATTTGTACACTGTTGCTTGTTGTAGATACAATTGTGTGTACACGTCAAAACTAACATAGAATTTTTATCCAACTCATGAAGCTCCAATCAGCAACGACACATTTTTCAAGAAACTTTCTATTTTTACGAACAAAATATTCACATTTTGCAAATAAAACTTGTTACTTTTTTCGAACCCTTCTCACAAAATGAAGGGAAAAAATAAAGCACGTGTAAATCGTTTTGTTTGCACAGTCTGGCTCAGAAACTATCAACCGAAAAGTCAAACAGTTAACTCAATTCGTTTCATTTTTTAAAGAATATTACCCTGTAGAAACTATGGAAGTTCATTGCTCCTGGAATGTCTTTCGGAGATTGTGATGAGAGTTAATACGCGAAGTGATAAGGCGAGGAGATTTTCATCGCCAAGATGTCTTCCTGAAGACAATCGAAATGATGGAGCCAACAACTCAAGGGGATATTCCTTGTCTAAAAGAGTGTCAACGACCCCTATAACCATCATGATGACAGGGGGGAGGTTTGACACTTTGCAATATAGCATTTTAATTACTTTCAATGGCATGGCATTTATTTGTCCTCTAAACATTATTTTTTCCTAGTATGATTCATTTATTTTTGAAATAATAAATTTAATTTATTTCACAATAATTTTACCTATCATGTTTTAAAAATTTCGAGACAAGGATAATTAGATTAATTAAGCAATTAAAAAATCGGGAATACGAGTTATTGAAAAATTAATGACTTCTGTTTAAAGTTATTAATAGAGATTTACCAATGCACATGACTTAGCCAAGAACATGACTGTTTCAAGTCTTAATTTCAAAATCCTACTTTCGGGTTTTCTAAATGCGATTTTTCTCATTATGACAGGTGCGTTTAAATTTATCTTCATGAAAATAGATTATAATTATTTCATAATAATTTTAGCAATCATTTTCTTTTTGAAAATTAACATCAATAAATAATCAAATGTCATTCATGGAACTAGACAGAGGGGGGGGGGAATTAAACCTACCATGTCGATGATTATTGATTAATTGAAATTCTAAAGTAAAATATTGAAATTTTCAGTTATTGAAAATGTATAACTTTTAATCTTCCAGCTGGTACGCCTTTCGTTTAAACGCAAAATTTTGAATGCATATCCTTAATACACTATTGAAAAATGTGAAGTTATATAAGTGTAAATATTATTATAACTAGCTTTAGGTTGCTAACTACAATTGGAAATTTATAACTCAAGAAGAAATGAAGTGATTTAGCATAACCTGTAAGAAACGTCATGCGTGTGTGGAATCTGATTAACACCTGGTTGATTCTACGATGACGGCAATATTGCAGGTATCCAATTAATTTTTCTTTAAAAAATGCTTTTTGAGAAGAAGAAAAACTAAGTTTAAACAAAAATCATCAGAACAATATGTAATGACTGACCATAGATTTATTGAAATGATTACAAAATAAGAAGATATGAAAAAGTGTCGAAATTTTTACTAAACTGCTCAACATTTGCAGAGATAAAGTGTAAAAATTAATCTAGAAGTGAGAAGATAATTGAAATTTGAATGTAGAAAAGAAAAAACTTGCTTCATAGTTATTTCATTGCAGAACTGAAATCAGATCAAATGTTTACTCTAAGCATATGAATTTGGAGCAATACCACCACGAACTTCAGGGAGCAAATATCAACTTTCACAGGATTCACTGTACATTTTCAGAACAAGGATTGATTAATTTATTTATTTTATACGCGGTTACTTATTATTTTCCATTGAAGTTTCTACCAGAAAGATAACATTTGTTTTCCTTCCTTCTTGCTTGTTCACAGTTATTTCATTGTAGAACTGAAATCAGATCAAATGTTTACTCTAAGCATATGAATTTGGAGCAATACCACCACGAACTTCAGGGAGCAAATATCAACTTTCACAGGATTCACTGTACATTTTCAGAACAAGGATTGATTAATTTATATCTCTTATACACGGTTACTTATTATTTTCCATTGAAGTTTTTACCAGAAAGATAACATTTATTTTCCTTCCTTCAAAAGGTTCATTTTTCCTGTTTTTGTGTTTATGATATAGAAATAAAAGCGGTATGTTGCAAAATAACTATCCTTGGGGATTAAACAAAAGCACTTCTCTCAAATTTCTTTTATAGAGAAGTCCGTCAATTAACTTTCTCGAGTAAAAAAAAAACTAAAAGCCTTTGTAGACTTCGCCCACTGGTTTCTTTTCCGTGACTTGGGAAATCAAAACATGAAAAGATAACATTAGAGGGGAAATGCGGTTGCATTAAGGAAAGAAATTGTTGCTCAGGGGGAGGATGAACTTGAAACAATTTCCGAAACATTAGCATTAATGTGAGCTTGCTCAGAGCGATTTCGGTGAAAAGAAATATAGTTTTACAACTTCCATTTATTCTAAAAATACATATAACGATTATTGCTACTATATTATTCACAAATTTTTCTGGCTTTTAGTATTATTAGAGTCCGGAAAAAACTCACCGGAGCATCGAATATACATGTTTTTCTTAACATCTTAATCTTATTTATCGAGCAAAAATATTTTTTCAGTTAAGTTTGTTTTTCGAGTTTGCTTGAGTAAATATGTCGGGGAAAATATCTTAGTTGCTAAACAGTTGTGGAATCCAAAAAACTTTATTTCTTATTTGTGGGTTATAGGTTTTTCTTCGGAAAATAAGAAATATATTACTGTAATACAATTATAAGAATATAAAACACAAGAATTATAAAATGCGTAGCATAAAAGATAAGTTGAAAACATAAATTTTAATATGCTGTTAAAAAAACTCACTTTCAGTAATATACTTCTTTAAAAAAAGCTTGATAAGTTAAAAGCGAACTAAATGTTTTACGCTGTATATATATAATACAAAATAAATATTTAAAATTTATTTCAACAATTGTAAAATAATTGTTTTGAGACGAATTTTTATAATATCACAAATACGAAATAAGAATTTGAGGGACAACAACTGTTTGCATGAAATTTCAAAAAAGCTGCCTTCAGCGCACTTTAAAATTGTAATCGAAAAAATATATTTAGGCACAAACACTTTATCCCAATATAATCGGAAAGTCATTCCTTAATCCATGAACAAAAAAAAAGGTATTTTTCTGTCTTCTGGGCACAAGCGAAAAGTCGCCAAAAAAAATAGATCTCCGCCAACATTTTTAAATGCATAAAAATTAAAAAAGAATAGTTGGATTTCCTTAGCCCCGGTGAACAGAAGAGTAGCCAAGAGAGAGTTTTTTCCTTGGTTTTTTTTCCGCCGTATTATTTTTTTCAGTGCTGGTATATTTTAACGGCACAAGTAAATTTTCCGATTTTATATATTTATTTTTTATTGTTTTTATGATTTATTTATTCGAATACAAGCAAAAAAATAATTTAAAAAACAGTGTAGTTCACTGTATATTTGTTGGCAACTTTATCGCCAGAATCGGCGAAATGGATACGCACCATTTTATTGTTATAAATAACTAATGATACTTATCCATTAACTGGGTAATCAGACGAAGGTAAGCGAAAATCATCAAGCTTCGACATCAATGGATCAATGCATCAACCGGCTACATATTTTTATCTGATGAATATTTATTTTTATTACGGTTAATTCACACTAATAGAATAAAACACGTAGATAAGAAGAACAAAGTGAAAAAAATTAATTTACACAGTTATAAGTTACGTTCACAGCATGAAGTTATAAACTTCTTTAACGATAACTGAATATAACTTTTTATTCCAGGACACCTACCTAAAGCATTTTAGAGAAATTAAATAAAGCATTTTAGCCTGAAAGAGATTTTTCTACTGTTTAATGGGTAAGTAAAATAAGTTTTTAACATTAAGTTTGTGCAAATAATAAACTTTAATCGTAAACACTATTAATGGCATACATTTTATTTCCTAATGAAAGTTTCTTTAGGTAAGCATTAAAAATATATGCCATACTATGTCCCTAATGGTTTAATTTAGGTAAAATCCTAGAATAGCCCACCTCTTGGTGCGTTTTTGAAATCATGCCAAGTTGGAGATTATTACTGGGATCAACGTTACTTTTTGATTATTAAAAACAAAAACAATTTAAATTATTGTACATTTACTAAAATATTTTTAAACGGAATAAAAAATAACATTACCTTTACCCTGATGGTTCATCGTTTGACACCGGAGAGTACGTCCTTATGACCTCCCAAATGAAAGCGCTGTAGATAAACATCATGCGCAAACACATTCAATCCACGCTCTCAACATCTCCATTCAAAATTATCCACCGTATCCTTTCTCTCAATCAAACTCATTTGTTTTCCACATTTAGGGCATTCATACGTTTTCGAAATTAAATTTTGATACATACACTATTCAATCATCGACCTCTTGCATTCAATAGTTAAAAATTCACTCGTCCATTCGCATGCCATTTTCTACCGATACCGCACAGAAAAAGGATTAAAAAATGATATAATAACGGTAATAAATGATATAACGAATAAAAAATGAAATAATAACGGTCATTCTAACAGCAAGAGATCAGAAGCATAAACTTTCAAAAAAATAAACCCTTTTACCTCTTTTCTAACGAAATCCAACGTTCGCATAGGTATACATATCAAAAAACTAATCAGGTTTAAAAATTTTGGGGGCGTGATCTGACGTTCAAAATAATCTCCCCGAATCTTCCGAAAACCTAGTTTAGTCAGATTTCAAAAACTTGCTTGGCGAGATTTAAAAAAATCGCCACGGGATGGGCTATTCTAGGATTCACCCAGTTTAACTATATTTTGAGATTTCCTTTGGAATATCGCCAAGTTGAAAGCCTGGTTGAGGGATGTTGTTTTACTTATGGCAACCTGCAAAGATAATCTCTAAATAAGGTTTTAATTATGTTTTGTTTTCGGTACCATTTTATTTTACTGGGCATTGCACGTATATACAATTTACTTCAAAAATTGACAATTTTTGACAAAAGGCACCTACAAATAGATTTTTTATCCAAGAAATATTCTTGTAAATCAAGAAAATCTACTAAAACTACAAAAAGTCATGTTTAGCTTATTACTACGAAAAACATATACCAAACTCAGCATGAATAAAATATTATCGTTATTAACAAATGAATAACTAGTCACTATCTACATCAGAATCATTATCTTGCATTGCTCTTCTCCCATAAGCTTCAGCTTCATCGAAAATTTCTTGTGGAACAAGTACGTGCTGGCGTTTAGAAATATCGCCAACCCAACTAAGTTCAAGTTCAAAATCTTTATCCTTAATCTCATCATGTACCAAACATATTATCCTTGCAGCTTCTTTAATAAGTTGTACACAAGTCATATTTTTTATATCACCCAGATTTTCTATCTCCGTTTTCGCCGCTTGCTTAGCTTTACCTATTGCACAACCGAAATAACCCCACGAAGTGCCAGATGGTTCAATGCAAAATAACTGAGGCCCACAATGGTCGTGAGATCCCATCATTACACTACAACCAAATGGTCGTAAACCACTAAATAAAGTATAGGCTTGCACATGCATAGCCACACGGAATTTAAGATGATGTAGAGGAATATCAACATTATATGTAGATTTATAATGTGTAACTTCTGATTTGGCAACTTTTACGATTCGTCTTGCATCTGTAATCATTCCAGCGACAGCTATACCAACGTGCTTTCCTACGGTAAAGATCCTTTTGTAGGCTCCAGGTTCCCATAACTTCGAAGTCACAAGCTTCTCAACTGCAAAAACTACGCCATCTTTTCCTCGTAAGCCTATAACAGTTCCGCTTCTTTCAACTGCTTTTTCAGAATACTCTATTTGAAATATACGGCCATCTGGGGAAAATTGAGAGGTAAAAAAATCGTATCCACTACCAATTGATGTCATTTTCGATTAAATAGGATATTTTCTTTAAGAGCAATAATGGAATATTATAAACGTTAAAGTTATGGCGGGAGAAATGACATTTGTTTATTTCACAAAATAAATTCACGTTTGACATCAGCAGTGGCATGGCTGAACTAAATCACTAATTTATATCAACAAGTTCAGCTTGTGTAATGAATATAGTTTAAATGAGATTGAAAGCAATAACGTGACGTCACGAAATGATGAGGCGATGACGTGAAATTATATGCTTTTGCTGTTTGCTGTTGATGAGTACCAGATTACTTGTTTTGTAAATAAGAATTCCTTAATTTTTACTTGTTATCATCATATTAATAAGCAGATTAGAGAAGAAAATAAATCACATGTAATCTAAAGATATTTTTGAAATGTTTTCGATCGACTGTAGTTTATATATANTTTGTAATGAGAGCGCAAACCTGCATGTGTAACAATAAATAAGTAAATAAATAAATGCTTGGTATAACTTGAAATTGTGATGGCATTGTCTTCGGGTCATCCTCAGCGATGTTTCCCAGACAGTCACCAATAGCCCATTTTGCAGCTCTAGTACGACGTAAATGAACTACAACAACAATATATATATATATATATATCGTAATAATAATTAGAACAAATAATTTAAGCTGAATATTGTATTTAATTCTTCCAACATAAGTATTGCGGTACTTCAAAACATTAAAGATTTACTTTAACTTTATTAATAAATAACTTTTGTTTACAACTTTGCTGAAAATAGATGAGCATAGCAGCAGCACATAAGAAGTTTTTGTGAGCTTTTGTATTTGAGTTTTGTGTGTTTTGTATTTTGTGAGTTTTTTAAAATGTATATACAGTTTTAATTTAAAAATTTACATTGATTTATATCCTTGCAAATTGTTAAATATGATGAATATTTTACATGCTTGCATTTTTCATCTTACAAAAAAAAGCATGAATAAATAAATAGCATTAATAATAATAATAATAATTTGAATGCAATCTTTGTTCAATTAAAATCACTCTTGAGACTACAACTACAAGAGAGTGTCCAAAATGTCAGTCATAATGAAAGTAAAAGTGACAGTTAAAATCAAAAAATACTAATGCAAGTTTAAAAAAATGCCAATTTGTTAAAATCACTCATTTCAATATCGGCCACATAAAGTTGTAATCTCTTACAAACTGTGCTATTCTGATTTATGCAAACATTCATAGTTAGACATTTACTTCAAGAAATCGAGGGGGGGGGGTTGCTTCTGAAGGTGAAACAAAAATTCTAAAAGAGAACAAAATGAACCTTAATGCTATGATAATACTGATAATTAATTTAATGATAGATAATACTGGTAATTAAAATTTAAAATTTTGTTAATTAAGCTCATGATCTCCTCTTTTAAGCTTATAGTTCTCTTAACGTATAGAATGCTGCATGAAAGTGCAAAATCCCTCTGTTAACATATTCAGTAAAAAATAGTTTCAAAATTTAACTTACTGACAATTAGTTAATTAAGTCAAATGGCAGTTTAAATTAAAATTGTCACAATAATAATGCACCTTTTTAATTTTTCTAAGCTCGAAATTAAAACTTTTTGTCAAAAATAATATATATTTAAAACTCGCTACCAAATATGAATATTTTTTTCTGAAGTAATTGGAACATGAGGGAAAATAATTAAAAAAAATAATTGAAATGTGTTAATTAATTTTTTATAAAATGTTTCAGCATAAATTCCTCTTTATGTAAATTAAAAAAAAGTAACAAACCTTAAAAACAAAGAAAGAAGATAACGACGTACTAAAACTTACTCTATGCACTTGTGAGAAACTAAAAAAGAAATAGTTTTTTTTCTTGGTTTTCTTTTTAAAATTTAATTTCTTTAATCCTTTGCCTTAGTGTGTCTCTCTTTTAAGCCAATTAGTCGCACTTCTAGATTTATTTTTATTTTTTGCTGATTTTGTTAAATTAAAGATCAATTCTAGAAGTGTTCTTCAACTGTTAACTACATGAATAAAAATTAAAATTGCAAAACTATGCGAATAAAAATTGAATTTCTAAAATCATGCTAAAGATGTTTTATAAATTTCATTTCTGTATTGAAGAGAGTGAAGTAAATAATTCAATTTAAGTTTTGATTTTTGGGGTGAAAATAATATATTACTTTTTTAAATAAACTGTCGGATAACATTAAACGTTTTTAAGTAATTACTAGGAGGCTTCGCCCCCTGCTCGCTGGCGCTCACCAACCTCCGGTACTGCTTTCGCAGTTCATTTCGGTTTGCTTCGCAATCCAATGCTCGCTTTGCTCGCTCATTGGATACGTTCTTAACGTCTAGTTTTTATATACTTTTTCGAATACTGAAGATCCGAAAACTTTTCACTGTAGAAAATTCTAAACCTGTACATTTCAATATTAATTTGAAATTGCAAACAGTTCACATATTTTTCTTAATCACACTATTCTAAATTTCAGTTGTTGAGAAAAGTAACTGTTGTAAGTTTTGTATTAAAGTCTTTACCAAAGGGCTAAAGCCATGTGTAGTAAAACAATATGAAATAGTAGTCTGCCACTGAACGCCGGATGTAAAGCATCGGCTTTGATGAAGATAATTTTGTATTTTTAATTCTCTGAAGAGCGCCACCTTAATAATATGGAATTTGTAAAATAAATGTATCTATTTTTGATTGTTGATGAAGCCCATCATTTTGTGTTTTCATCAGTGTTCAGAAGCGGAACAACTATAAGTTTTTTATTTAATCACAAAAATAGAAAATGCATAAAAAACAAAGAAAAGAGTAAGAAAATGAGTATAGTCATAGAAAAAGTAAAAATTGTAATATAGTATTTGTCAGTTAAAATAAAACTTTTTGCTTAAGTCATTGCTGACAATTCAAATTTCTCCGAGGCAATTCTAAAGTATAAATTAAGGTAGTATTAAGTTGAAGCACAATATTTTTAGTTTTGATGTCAACAATACAATTCAATTTTTCACCAAAACGATTGTTTCCATTGTTAAGTTCAATGTCAACAATTCAAATTTTTCTGAGGCAACTCTTAACCTCTAAATATTATTTTTTTTATGTACACATTTCTAAATGTCAGTATTCAACCACAAAACAACTTAAAGTCCTCAAATTTAGCATGAAGTTGTAAAATGTAATGAAAGAGGGTCATAGCAATAATGAAAGTAGAAGTAAAGTTAGTACTGTAAAATTAAAACAATATTTTTAATCAATGAGCCAAGTTCTTCAAGAAGCAGTTGTAGAAGTAGGTTGTTTATTTAAAACTTTTTATAGAATTTCTTTAAGAACACAATTGTTAATTTGGGCATTTGGCGATACAACACTTTTAGAATTGAAGGATTTGTTACGTCAAGCGCTCAGGTATCATAATTTTGATCTAGTTGCGCTTCTATGTCATTTTGATTTATGTTGCTAAGTTAACTTTCAAAAAATTCTATGGCTGGCAACAGCATTTTTATTTTTTAAGTTGTTTATTTTTATTTCTTTTAGAATTCGTTATTTTTTTAGCGAAATGTTTTTTAACCTAACAGAATTCTTTGCCGACTGTTTTCTCTATGAATGAAGAAAATAAAGTAAATATTTAACTGTTGTGAAAAGAATCTTATTTAGTTGTACAAAGTACTTCAGCCAAAATTTGGGAGCCACGTAAGAGAATTATATATATTAGATCAGAAACACATCATTAAAAGGCAGAATGCTTTGGTGTTTTCAAAACAAAGCAAACGTTGCCACCGGCGGAAAAGAAATACAGCCAAAATTTGGGAGCCACGTAAGAGAATTATATATAATAGATATTTCCTAAAATATTATTTTCAAAGTTAAAACAAGATATTTTATGAAAGCACTCCAACTTATGGCTTCATTGTATTGGTATTGAATTATTGACTGCACTTAATAAAAAAAAAGCAATTGAATCATTTATTTTAAATTACAATTAGTCACTTTTTTTTAGTTCCATTTATACAAATATTTGATATTGCCTAATTTAAATGTATGAGGATTTTAAATCTGAAATTACTTTTGCTCCTAAATCTATAAGTTTTTTTTAATCAAATATTTTTGAAATTTTTATTGAAATGCACACATGTTTAAAAACGTTATAAGAAACGTAAATGTTGCGACAAACTTCTTGGGAAGTTAGATCGCTTAATCAAGATTAACATTTCATTGGAAAACATGCCCAGAAATGTTGTCGTAAGCGGGTAGGGGCATTTTCTTATTAAGATCTGTCCAGAGGCACGCGAATAAACAGCTTATAATAGTGATGCGCCCCTAGCGGCATTTAACGACATTTCGAAGCATGAGTAACACTTATCCAATGTTAATCCTGATAATGTGCTTTTACTGACTTAGAAGTTAATCGCAACATTTACGCAGTCCTCTATTATATATAACGTAATTAAACTTGTGTATTTTAAAAAAATGGACTAAAATGTCATTTTAAAAAATTGCAGCTTGGAGAGGGAAACTGATTGCAGATTTGAAATAAACGATGTGCAAATGATCAAGATCCGTTAAAAAAATATATCATGCAACAGAAAGCAAAAAAAAATGGTTCTCAGTGATATCAGTGATTTTTAGTACATTGAAATTTCTTCAACTAGCTTTAGGAAAGTAGATTGTTATTTTTTCGATCTAGTATCTGCAGGGTTTTTTTCCCCACAATTCCATTAATTGTTAAATCTCAGGTCTCCAGCAGGCGTTGAAAATTTTAGTTATCGTAGATTTGCATCAATACAAGTAGAAATCTAATTCTCAGATACAACTTTACGTTCGAAAAGTTTCATACAGTTATATTCTCTTTGAGTGTGTAGTGGTAAATACTAAGGCTCCTATACTATCATCAATGTGTCTAATTCAGGAGCACTAGTAAATACAAATGCATTAAAATAACGACATTAGTTCGATTTTTGTCACCACTTTTTGAAACTTTCAAGAACAGCAGAAACTCTGTATTAATAATTGTTGTATCATAATAGGCATTACATATTTCCTAACTTTTAGAATTTCTTTAAATTTTTTAATCACTCTTAATCCAATAATAAATAAATTAGATCAATTATTTAA